TTAAATTTTTATAACTCTTACAAAGTTTTTTCCATCTATAAATCATAATAGAAAAATAAAAAACACCACTATTGAGAATGAGTATGCCGTAAATAATCAATATAGAAAATTTCCGGTATAGCACATACCTGAATGTCAGATAAGAAATTATTTCTTGAAAAAAATCTTGTTAAATTTTTTTCATAAACAACTTTTATTTGATACACTCATCGTAGTCACTTTTTCAATACTTCAAAAAAAAAAAAACATTAATATGAAAAATAATCGTCTTCTATTGTGTATCATAATGTATGCAGAATCGTTTTTCTTTGTCAGATGTGCAGCATATTGAAATGCTATTCATTCGAACATGTTGTCTAAAATGATATACATGTCTTTATATTTTAGATTTATATTCTTTTATATAAATTTTTATCAGTAAAATATAGTTGTTGATAAAGTAAAGTATTCTCATTTATATATATATATATATAATAGTTCCAGTTATAAGCAAATACATAAATTTTTTCTTCATATAACAAATCAAATGTTTTCTTTTTTTTTATATTTAGCTGTATGGATAAATATTATAGTATTAAGATTTTCTTTCATCATGAAAAATTTTAATATAATATATATATATATATCTTCGCATAAATAATCATATCTATCGTCATAGGTAATTCATTTGTCAGAAGCACACTTGAAAATGAAGATGTAAAAATTTGTTATCTTTCACCTCAAAATTAATTATATGATTCAAGTTCTTATAGACTACTGCACACTTTTATCATATATAAATTTAAATGTGTTTTCAAGTTTTAATAACCTTGCGTTTTTTTTTCAATTATAAAATGAAAAAGAAATAATAATTCATAGTCAATGTTACGGTTTAATTTCATTTTTAAGGCTCAATCAATAATTGAAAAGGTTGTGAATATACACAGACATGTATGTATATTAAATATTCCATATCCAAAAATGCATTCAATATATATAATTGAATGATTTCAAAAGTACAGATGTTTTCATAAGACTAAGAAAAAAAGAAAAAAAAAAGAATCTATCTGTCAAGATTTTTACTTTCAATTATGTTAAAATTTCTACATATAAGTAAAGATAAAGTATATATGTAATATTTAGCTTTTTTTCTTACTGTTCTTCGTCAATGAGAGCACTCGAAAATCGTAGTATTGAAAAAAAAAATCATTAACGTAATCAATCATATACAAGTGAAAAAAAAATAAGAATAATAAAGTAAAACCATACATATGTTAATCAAGTATGCAAAGAAAAAATATTTATATTCAAAATTCTACATAGTTTGGTCATTGTTTCTGTTCATGGTTGAATTATTGCATAGGGTATCGGCGACAGTTAATCGAAACAAACATGATAAGTAGTAGATATTTACAATAAAAAAAAAACAAAAAAAAAAACATGTGAGATTTGTGATCATTGACAAAAAGAAAGAAAAGAATTGAGTGAACACATCTTGGACGGATTATATTAATACAATGCAAAAAAAAAAGATAATTAATCTTACATCAAATTAAGTTTTTTTTTTTTTTTTTTTGTTTTTCTAAACTCCTATATGCATTGGTCGTTGACGTAGAAGAAAAATAAATAATGGTAAAAGAAGAACATTTTTTGTAATAAGAATAAAATTAACATATTTCATTAATATTTTTCCAAGTGGTTGTTGTAGTCGTTTAATGATATTTGTTAATGATAATGATGTTGATATTCTAGGTGGCATCACAATTATATTTGATGAACGTATATAACTTTTACAATGATGAATATGATTTTTATCTTCTAAATAATATAAATCATTTTCAGAATAAGATTTCAATATAATTGATTTGTTTTGTTCAAAAGATTTTCTTGAACGATCTAATGATTGATAACCAGATGATAAAAGTCTTGAATCTGTATGTGTTAAATCTTCATCAACACTTGGTGATTGTTGCATTGTTGTATTATTAAATTGCATAAAATCCATATCAGAAAATGTATCAAGATCTTCACTACTTGTATCATCTATAGATATATGAAAACCATTACTTGCTGTTGTTGTTGTTTGATTTGTTAATAATTCTTTTTGATGATATGAATTTGAAGATGTATGAAGTTGAAGATGATTATTTGTATTTCTAAAATGTAAATAATATTATTATTTTAAAAGATAAAAATTATCTATTTACTTTCGAGATATATCATTATCAGACTTGATTATTTTATGTGGATTATTTGTTTGCATAAATGTTTGAGTTTCTTCGTCTTCTTCTTCACTATATGTATCGTAATGTTCATTAAGAATATTATGAGGTGATGAAGATAATGATGTAGCTCTTGGTGTTTGCATATGATGAGGATGATGATTTGAAGGTGATGAAAATTTTCGTTGTTGATGATTTGTATCGAAATTCACAGGTTTTAAATGTGACGATGTAGATCGATTTGAAAATGCTGATGATGTAGAATTTTTTCTTGAATTTGTTACTATTTGTTGAACACAATTTGCAAATGCTAATGGTTCTGCTTCACTACGTAAACGACCATCTTCAGTAAATAACTGTTGATACATTATTTCAATAAATTTTAATGGATCTTCAACATCAGGTACATCAAGTAAAAGTGGTTGTTGATATTGTGAACTATTTGACATTGAACGTAATGGTGAACCATTGGATGTTGTCGTTGTTGTTGCTGTTGTAAAACTCGATTTTCGACCATAATGATTTGAAGATGAAAAATCATTATTAGTATGAATAGATTTTGTTTGAGATTTTGAGTTTGATGTTGATTTAGGATTTTGAAATGATTTGTCTTTATAACAATTAACAAAAACAGGTTTATAATTAACAACAATAATATTTTTCTTATGTCGAGATTTATTTTTTTTATTATTTATTTTTTGTTCTATTAATGAAACTAATTCTTGAACATTATTCGATGATGATGCCATTGTTTTATGTGAATTGATAGATGATGATGATATATGAGAAAACATACGTTTTCCACGTTTCACCGTACGTTGTCGACGAGGTATAAAAACACGAATACTTTTTTTTTTCTTTAATAATGAATTAGAATTTTGTGTATTATCATGACTATCAGCCATGGTTAAATGTAATTTAGACTAAAAAGAAAGTGAGAATAAAAAAAAAATTAAGTGATATATTTTTGACTTGAATCGAAAAGATTTACAGAAAGAAAAGAAAAAAAATAAATATATATATGATGATATGTACCTCGTGCTTGCGTTGTTGTTGTTCGTGTTCTAATGATGTTTGTGTTAAAAAGCAAATTTTTTCTTTTGCTTTATTCTTGTCAGCACACCTTGCCTGCTCATAGGGATAAAAAGTGGCGCTCGGGTCGATTGTAGGAGTGTCGACAGCAAAATACTGAAATAAAGAAGCTTCTGTCGCTTCGGCTCCAGTAGTTGATGATGGTGATTTTTTGTTTCGTTCCTTCTTTCTTTTCTTTTTCTTCTTTTCTCTTTTTTTACTTTTAGTTTTCCTTTTTAACCTTGTTTGTTTTCTATGTCGACGCCGAATAAAACGGTCCACCGTCGATGTAGTTGATGATGATAAAGAA